AAAGAAATCAGAGAAACAACACCCTTTACAATAGCCACAAATAACCTAAAATGTCTTGTAATAACTCTAACCAAGTAAGTGAAATACCTATATGACAAGAACTTTAAGTCTTTGAAGAATGAAATTGAAGACGAAATCAGAAAATGGAAAGATCTCCCATGCACTTGGATAGGTAGGATCAACATAGTAAAAATGGCAATCCTACCAAAAGCAATCTACAAATTCAAGGCAATCTCCATCAAAATCCCAGCAAAATTTTTCACTGACCTTGAAAGGACACTACACAACTTCATATGGAAAAACAAAAAAATGCAGGATAGCCAAAACAATCCTGTACAATAAAGGAACTTCTGGAGGCATCAGCATACCTGACTTCAAGCTCTACTATAGAGCTCTAGTAATGAAACAGCCTGATATTGGCATAAAAACAGACAGGTAGACCAATGGAATTGAATTGAAGATCCTGATATTAATCCATACACATATGGCCATCAATATTTGACAAAGAAGCTAAAATTATAAAATGGAAAAAGGAAAGCATCTTCAACAAATGGTGCTGGCATAACTGGATGTCCACAGGTAGAAGAATGCAAATATATCCATATCTATCACCAAATCACCATGCACAAAACTCAAGTCTAAATGGATCAAAGTCCTCAACATAAAATCAACCGCACTGAACCTCACAGAAGACTTCAGTGAGAACTAGCCTTGAATGCATTGGCACAGGAGACCACTTCCTAAATATAGCACTAGTAGCACAGACACTGAGAGCAACAATGAATAAATGCAAACTCCTGAAACTGAGAAGTTTCTGTAAAGCAAAGTATATGGTCAACAAGACAAAATGGCTCCCTACAGAATGGGAAAAGATCTTTAACAACCCCACATCTGACAGAGGATTGACCTCTAAAATATACAAAGAACTTGAGAAACTAGATATCAAAAGACCAAATAATCCAATAAAAAGTGGGGTACAGATCTAAAAAGAGAATTCTCAACAGAAGAAACTCAAGTGACTAAAAGACACCAAAGGAATTGTTCAATATTCTTATTCATCAGGGAAATGCAAATCAAAATAACTCTGAGATATCATCAGAATGGCTAAGATCAAAAACACTGATGACAGCTTATGCTGGAGAGAATGTGGAGTAAAGAGAATGTTCCTCCATTGCTGGTAGGAGTGCAAACTTGTACAGCTGCTTTTGAAATCTGTATGGTTGTTTCTCAGAAAATTGGGAATCCATCAAGATCCAGCAAAACCAATTTTTTAGGCATATACCCAAAGGATGTACACTCACACTACAAGGACGTTTGCTCAACTATGTTCATAGCAGCATTATTTGTGATAGCCAGAATCTTGAATCAACGTATATGCTCCTCAAGTGAAGAATGGAAAAGGAAAATGTGGTACATTTACACACTACTCAGCCATAAAAAAAAATGACATCTTGAAATTTGCAGGCAAATGAACAAAACTAGAAAAAGCCATCCCAAGTGAGGTAACCCAGACCCAGAAAGACAAATATAATATGTACTCAATCATATGGCTATAAGACATAAAGCAAAGGACAACCAGACTACAGGCCACAACCCCAAAGAATCTAGGTAACAAAGAGGACCCTAAGGGATACAAATATGGATCTGCTTAAGAAGGGGGGAAAAAAACAAGATCTCCTGAGTAAATTGGTAGTGTGAAGTGGGGTTAGGGAAAGGGTAAAGGGGGAGAGGGGAGGGGTGAAGCGGACTGGGGAAAATGTACATAGCTCAATAAAAAAAAATGGCAAAAAGGGACAAGAGACCAGAACCACAAAAGTGAAAAGTTTGCTTTGCTGGGACAATTAATACTGGACAGTTGGAGCTGAAGAATCGGCCTCGAGGAAGAAGAGACAAACATCCTTGAGACAAAATACTCTAGGAAGTGTTTCCTCAGGGTCAGCATGAAGAAGTTGTGTTCCAGAGTAGGTCAATGCTATGCTTGGTAATGTGTAAGAGGCACTGGTTATGTAGGCATGAGGAAATTATGGAGAGCAGAGGGGCCTTGGCGTGTGAGAAGCCATTGGTGAAGATACAGCCTTGGTTCTAGTTGAAGTCCCAGGGTTGTAGGGGCCAAGGCAAGATGTTGAAGCTTGGAATCCTGCATCAGAGGGGTCAGTGTTCCTGAAGATACCCCGGGAGAGGCCAGTTGCAGTGGAGACCCCAGCATTTTAGAAACACCAGACCATGAATGACTACCAAGGACAGTAGGTGTGGAGTAGAGCCAGCCTGAGCATATGAGACAAGCTATGTGTGTTGTGGGTGGCAGAACTGGAGAAGCAAAGCTCCCAGAGTCCTTGGGAGTCCAGAACATAGTGAATCCCAGCTGTGTTCCACTCAGCTTTATAGGGTCTTTTGTTTTTACTTTGCTCTGGTTGCGATTGTGCTCTGGCTTTTCCTCTTTAAAATGAGAAGCATGTTACTTATTTCTTATTTTACCAGAGCACACCAAAGAGACTTTGGAACTTTGAAAGAGACTTTGGATGTCTTAAAGAGACTGAACTTTTACAAGCTGGAATGTGTCTTATATTGAGATACTGATATTAATATGAGTACTAGGGAGAAAGAAGAAAGAAGAGGTTATAGTTTAGTAGTAATATATTGTTGTGCCAACTTGATAAGGTGTCAGTTGCCTGGGTTTAGTTATTTTCCAAGCTGACACAAGCCAGAATCATTTGGAAGAAGAAACCTCAATAGAGAATGATGGGGGAAGTACTTCTGTGTATGTATTTGTCTTATTGGATGATAAATAAGGTACTGTTTGGCCAATGAGGCAGCAAGTAAGGCAGGAGTAGGAGTCAAGGAGGATTCTGGGAAATGTAGTAAAGAAGTGGTGACCCAGGCAGGAAGTGACACAGCAGGCAGACTCATATATAAGCAAGGGCAAGAAGGAAGTCTTCCCTTTTTCTCTTGCTTTTCCTCCTGGTCTCTGCTCTGGAGTCGCCATGTGACTCACCAGCAAGAGAAGGTGCCAGAAGAAGGTGTCTTCAATAAGATAAGTCTTATAAAATATATAGATTTATGATAATTAAGACTGAGCTAGCAGATGAGAAATCCTAGTCATTGGCTAAGCAGCATTTGTACCTACTATAAGTCTCTATGTGTTACTTGGGACCTTAAAATGGCAGAGGGTGGAACTCGGGTGGCCTGGCACAAAGTGCCCACGTGGAAGCAGGGCCCGGGTGGTTTGGAGTAAAGACTTATTGTTACAAGAGAAAATGCACCCATTGGGTTAGCCTATAAGCAAGGGTATTTTCTTGATCAATGATTCATGTGGGAGAGCTTATCTCGTTGTGAGGTAAGCTGTAACTGGGTGGTCCTTATTATGTAAGAAATTAAGCTGAAAAAGCCAAGAGGAATAAGCCAGTAGGCATCATTCCTCCATGGCTTCTGTCTGTCCCCAGATTCTTAGCCTGGTTCCTTCCCAAACTTCCTTCAGTGATGGAATGTGACCTGTGAGCCAAATAAACCCTTTCTTCAAAAAACAAACCAAACCAAACAACAACAACAACAACAACAAAAAAAAAAAACATAGACACAGAAGAGACTTCTGAGCTAAACTAACAGTGGGCTGGTTGATTGAGATGTGGGCTGGTTGAGCGAGATGCTCCTTCTCCCTCAGTGCTCCTGTTCAGATGTGTGGGCATCACAGGGCCACAAACAAAAGTAGAGACTAAAGCGATGGAAATGAAAGCAAAGCACTGTACCCCAGGAGTTAGAGGCTGTATCCCATGAGAACACCAGGTAAGGTCTCAGGCATGAAGTCACATTTTTCTAGTAGCTCTCACACAATTAAAAAAAATACATTCCTTATAAAATGGGGTTCATTACAATAGCTCTATATACTACACATGACTATATATGAATGGAAATCTTAAAGATGTGATTGCAAAACCAATTCTCATCCCCATGAAGCTGCATACTATGAAATGGAGGCGAGGAACTGATATGAAAGGGAAAGAGTTAGCAAGAGCAGCATGTCCAAAGGTGTATAATCAATGCTGCATAAGAGAAACTGGGGTTGTCGTCTCAGATGCAGAATGAGAATAGAGGTTAAAATGTATGTATCCCCATCATCCCCAAAATCTATTATCAATCTCAATGTGCCTCTCCTTCTCCTCTTCTTCCTCCTTCTCCTCCTCTTCCTTCTTCTTTCTTTTCCTCGGGATTGTTTTCCTACTCATAGCAGACCCTAAAAACTGTTGTTAAGCAATTGCTTAGCTAAGGGAAGGCATGAGAAGGAAGGAACACTGGTGATGAAAGGGATGCAAGGCAACAGGAATGGGCAGAAGAAAAGGAGGCAAATGGTAAACAGAAGGATGGCAGTGGAAAGAAGATGGGGCATGCACAGAGCACTCTGTCCCCAACCCACATCTCTGGAGTAGACACTGGAGTCATTATCTCAATCATGTTAGCAAAGTGTCAATGGCTTTAAAAACCTAAGTCTGTACGTTTAAGATTCTCTTTGAGATTATGTGACTATGGTGTGCATTTAATATGTTGGCTGGACATTTGTAGATTTAACATTGTCTAAAAGACTATGCAATGTCAATGTTTGAACTCATTATGGAAGTTCTGCACAGTTAGGATAGTAAAAGAGCAAATTCAAAAGAAAATAGAAAATCAGACTCGGTGATAAAATGTATGTAATGGTTGCAGAAATGTTAGCATTGGTGATGACACACAGACTTTGGTTTTTCTGGCTGACTCAGCTTTTGAGCAGTGACAGCAAGGTAATTTAGACTGTGTTGCAGAGACAGGCTCTAAATTCTGCAATCTGATACCCCTCCTTCCATCTCCCTCCCTTTTTTTCCTTGTCTCCCAGTTCCTCTCAATGCACATGAATTTCAAAAAGGAAAATACCAGAAATATTGAACACTAGCATGTAAATTCAAAAACAATACCACAATGCTCTGTTAAAAAATAAGAAAAAAAAGTTTTGGGAACCTAGAGCCTGACTGTACCTCAGCAAAATGAAGCGTCCCATTCCAAGGACTGAGAGCATCTTTAGCCTTCTCCTCTATAGCCCAATGAAGAAGGACAGCTCCTTTTCCTCCTGGGGACCGGACGACTGTCAGTGTCACATATGAATCAGGATCATCAGACAAAAGGGATTCATCAACCATTACCTGCAAGAAATAAAACCAGTAAGACGAACATAGTAAATATGGGAGAAATAACCTTATTTATTTGTAATCATTGTAGTTTTGATTTTAAAATTCTGTTCATGATATGTTAACATGTAGCAGGTAAAACGTTTCCCCTCAAACGCATTTCTTTTCTTTTCTATACATTAGGCTATTTGGTATTTCAATTTTCTCTTTAAATTAGGTAGAACAACATGGCTTCACTGTCAGTATGTTAGTGGTAGAAGTGATTATAGCAGCTAGCACACTCAAACTTGCCTACAATCCTCCTGTCTACTATTTTCCCATTTGTAGGTGAACAGAGAAGATACCCCAAGACCTATAAAAAGCTAGCATGCAGAGATGGGAGGAATCTTATGCCTGGGGGCTGGTTGGAGAAGAGGGGTCCATGACAGTCAGAAGAATAGGTTCACTACAGTAAAACTCTTGCATAAATTGGGAAACATTTATGATAAAGGAACTGAGACGTGGGGGCTCTTTGTTTCAGCATATGGATTTCCCAAGTAATATAGGTAGGTATAGACTATCTCTGAATGGTCATTCATTACCAACTTTAGTAAATTGACATTTTTATTGAGATGGTTGTCTTTATCAGAATAGAAAATATTTAAAAAGCAATTTTGGTTGTAGGGGATAGAGAGTCCAAATTAATAAAATTGTTTTGAACATACAGTCTCTGTCTCTCTCTCTGTCACTCTCTCTCTCTCTTGTTCTTTAGATTCTTTTGAGTGTACAATGTGTGTGCATATGTGTGCATCCCTGTGTGTGAGAGCAGGTGTACATGCCCCACTATGTGTGTATGGCAGTCAGAGTACAAACTTGCCTTCTCCTTGCTTGAGACAGGGTCTCTTTCTTGTCTTGGCACTACATACACCTGGCCAGCTAACCAACAAACTTCCAGGGATTCTTCGGCATCTATCTCCCACTTCTCCAAGTGTGGTGATCTGCATGAGAATGGCCCCTACAGGCTCATGCATTTTAATATCTGGTCTCTAGTTGGTGGAACTGTTTGGGGAAGGATTAGGGGTGTGGCCTTTCCAGAGAAGATGTGTCACTGGAGATGGGCTTTGAGGCTTCAAAAGCTCATGCCAGGACCAGTTTCGATCTCTCTACCTCCAGCTTGTGAATTAGCTATAAGCTCTCAGCTGCCGCACCAGCACCATGCTGGCCTGCCTGCTCCCAAACTACCCACTATGATGGTCATGGTCTCATCCTTGGCAACTACCAGAAAGCCCCAACTAAATGCTTTCTCTTCTAAGTTTCCTTGGTCATGGTGTTTCTAATCAGCAACAGAAAAATAACTAAGACACCATGGGAATACTGGGATTATAAATGTTCCTACTACATATTTGACTTTTATGTAGGTTCTTGGCATTTGAATTCAGATGTTCACATTAATGTCTCATCCAAGCCACCTTCTTCCTTCCTAAAGGAGACCCACTATATTAATTTACTAGCATTAGCATTTCTTATTCTTAAGTCCTTATTAGAAGATACGGTATGGTGAACTATACATGTTCACCTTAAGAAGCAAAGGCCAAGTGGGATCTACAAAACTCAGTAATATAGATTTGAAATGTAATACAGTGCTTTCCATTCTGAACATAGAAACTTACCAAACACAGCATATTCTTGTTTTTGTGTTTGTCTTTTTGTTTTTTCATTAGGCTCCATGTAGAATCAAGAACAGAGATTTGGAAATAACTGTATTTATTAAGCTTCTACTGTGTTATTTCTTCCACAGTTTATTTTATTTAAGCCCCAAAGAACTCTTAGAGATTTGAAGATCAGATATGCACACATATTTGTACAATATGAGTCTCAAATTTAATTCAAGTGTAATGACTCCACACTAAGTATTGTTCACGCCACTCCTTAGGCATAAGAAATATTTTATAACAAAGAATGAAGGAATCAGTTATAAACAACCTGTATGCATAGTTTTTGCTTAGCTTGGAATATTCATGTAGATATGCAAGTTTATGTTCTTACACATTGCCCTTGTGAGCATTTTATTTTTATGGGTTTACATTAAAAATCTTTTCTCAATGTTTTTCAGTTTTCTTTCTAATCTTTCACCAACTAATACTATCACAGTGCACAATATTATGATTCATATTCATGGTAGAAAGGAAGATCCTTTGTGGTAAGAAAGACAGGATATAACAACAACAACAACAAAAAACTACAAAAGGTTGAGTGACGATTAGTGCTAATTCAACCAAGAGCAAAAAAATCAACTGCACTTATTAAAGCAAATCCTAGGGATGAGTACTCTACATACATCAACTCATTTGTTTCTTGTAATTGTTATGAGAAAAATTACAATAAGACCTGGGTGTCTACTCTTACTTTTACTTTTAGAGTAATAAAATAGAGTTAGAATACTAATGTTAATAATAGCAACTAAGACAAATCCAATGCCCAATTTCAAAAGGTCTTCACCAACTGAGGAACTGAACATTAAACCATGAAATTATTTTTTATTCAATTAACTTTCCATAAAGGAGGAATGCTGATAAATACAGATTTTAATGTCCAAGTTCAAGTGGGATGATGTTATAACCAAAAGTATTTTTATAAGTTTTCACCACTTGAAGATTTGAGCAGTTAGCCCTGTTCAAGTTAGAAAAATTAAATACATATTCATATCTATATATATTGTAAGAAATATTATTGATTGGAATTACCACAAATAATAATGATATTTATCTCAGGATACAAGATTATAAAACCTATCCCTAGATGCTAGCTTATTACAAGCCACTTGAACATTTCTGCTTGATTCTTTCTCCAGGTGAAAACGTTTTATTTGGTTATAGCAAAATTGTACTCTTAAAAGTCCCAATTTGGTGTGAAACTGTAATTACACTGACAAAATCAACAGGTAATTTTAAGCTGTATTTAAACTTTCATGTACCTGGAAAACTGAGGTCTCTTAGACAAGTTGGAAAGCTGGAGTATTGCTAAAGTACCCATGGTGAATTACTGATTACACAATAGATAAGATAGTGAATGCTGATGCACCAAGCCAGAAAAGTTTCTGAGTAAATATGAACTATCTAAGGATATTTATGATTATTTCATCTTGAAGTTGTCTTTAAGAGATAAAGTCATAATAACCAGATATTATCACTACAAACGATTGTTATGATAAAGATTATGTTACATTATATTTAAGAGAAAGTTAATGTAGAACGTTCCACCAGAGAGAGCTACATAAACATTCATGATTGCAATTGGTTAAGCTTTTTATGTCCCCTCAACTAAATCCATAAGTGGGCTTCCCCTTTCAGATCTTGGAAGAAAACAGCAAATGAACAGCAAGTGGAAAAATATAAGGAGAAACTTCAAAGCATGGAGCAGATAATATAACCCAGTATTTTGTTCAAAATAGTCCAAGGTACTCCAGAACAATGAATGTGTAGGAACAAGTCTCACCAACTCCCCCCATCCTAGAATGTACCTGAGACCAGTAATGAAAGCCCTCTCAACAAGTACAGCATACTGGCAGTAAAGCAAGCAGAGAATGGAAGACACAGATGAGAAGGACAATAAAAATGAATCTGCTGTTCTCTGTTGAAATCACCTGATATGACAAGCTCTCATTGTATCTCCTTGTATACACAGGCTGGAGGAGTGTTTCCTACAGCAACAACCTACTCAAAAGACTAATCTTGAAGAAAGACTCATTAAGTGAAGGGTAATGAAAAGCTTCAAAACAAAGATTAAAGATACTTTTTATTGAAAACTACATGAGAAATCAGGGAAGGCAGTCACCTGATATATTTAACTTACAGTCTTCTCTTCAAATCCAAATATTCCAAACGGAGAATCATTTGGTGGTATGACAACAGTCACCACAACATCATCACCCAGTCTGCCACCACCAGCCACACTCATTAAGCTAATGCTGAATGTCTCCATGAGTTCAAATTCAGTATCATCAATTATAGTTATTTCTATCAGTGCACTGACCTATGAAACACAAAGAGGGGGGAGAGGAGGAAGAGTTAGAGAGGGAGAGGAAACGATGTAATGTAATAGCAGTGCTTCCTCATATATTTTCTAATTATTTTAGTTGAAAGAAAACAAGAAACAACACACAGTAGAAAAGGAAACAACTGGTTTTTGCATATTTTACCCATAATACATTTAAGATAAAGTATACATAATACTTCAAAGTTGGAAATTTAAAATCTATTATTTTCAAGATAAATTATATATTTAATAAAATATAGGCTATTTTATTAGTGATGTAAAAGATAATGGATTCTTAAGCAAAAAATTCTAAATGACATGGAGTTTCTAACAACTACCACACAAGCATAAAATCGAGTGTGCTTGATATTAATTTTGCATGATAGGAAATGGGCCCATAAAAACAATCACTGTATGCAGGACAGACAGTTCAGCAATGAAGAGCACATGCTGCTCTTGGAGAGAGTCTACCCTGGTTTCTAGCACCCAAGTGAAGGAGTTCACAATCATCTGTAACTTCAGAGCATCTGATGCCCTAATCTGACTTCCTTGGGAACCTCACACACATGCCCAAACCCACAACACGGTCATACACATAGCTGAAATAAAAATAAATCTTTTTGAAACATTATCACTGACTACTTCAATCAAACCTACAAGGAGAAAGAAGGGGATGAGAAAAATGTGCTGTTGTAGGAGGTTATTATGAGGATTTATAATCAGACTCATCAGGGTCTACATTAAACATTTTTATGAATATAAATAAAACCTGTTTCAGCTTGCAATTTCACATATGGCTCCCATCTTCACATTAAAATCTTTGTACACTACAGGTAAGCTACAGTATTTTATACATTGATCATCTAATAAATTGTTTTCTATATAGAACATCTGACAATGGGGAGAAGAAAGAAATCAGATGTCATACTCAGAGAAGCAGAAGTCTAAAAGAAATCACAGCTTGTTACAATAGCCACACTTCAATTCTGTACCATCCAATACAAAACATTTTCTTCCTAAGTTTTGAAACTAAAAATAATAATAACAATACAAAGAATGCTGGTAAATGATACTTCAAGTTCATGCTCAGAAACAAATGCCAGCAGCCGAGCTGCTTCTGTGCAAAACCAATTTATATGCTTCTGCTTTAACATAAATATTCCCCCACTACTTGTATTACCCACACTTCATGCTTTGTAGAAATCATTTACAAGTTCCAACTGTAATGATTAACCATAATAGATCTCTTGTACAGGAAGTCTATATTTGTGTGTATCCTTTAGCATTACAAAGCCACTATGAACCACTGGGGTTGGCTAGATTGGTCCCTAAAACAATACAACCTATTGTCACTGTTCTTGATTGCCCCCCAGGACATGATAGTATGGAACTTATCTTTGAAGATGCCAGTCACACACTGAAGATACAGAACACAGAAATCAGACTGCCACTAAGCAGCAAATCCCTTTCCCTCTGGCTACCTTTCACAGTACCAGAAGTGTGCTGCAGAGTGCTTGTGAAGAAGAGCTATCCACCGACCTGCCCAGAGGGAAACCTGCTAGCTGCAGAACTGACCCACAGTACTGATCTGACCAGTGAAACAGTGCCGTGATCATGACGGAACCAACCAACTGCCTCCTGTATGATGTGAGGCACATTCCCAGGAGGAAAGCCACATCGAGTGCTGTACAGCTGGTCAAGAGCCTGTAGCTGTGGCCTGTGAGGGGGAGAACCTATTACTAGTGTTTGCTAAAGAGACATGTTAAACTGCCTCCTAAGTACCCATGTGTACACCCACGCATTAGTTCTTTACACTGCTCCTAAGCACCTGCGTGTACACCCACAGGTTAGTTCTTTAAACTGCTCCTAAGCACCTGTGTGTATTGAAGCCCCTTAAATCAGCAGGCAGCAGCCAGCCAGAGACTCAAAACTGGTTAAAATAACAAGAACAGATGCTAATAGATTGTGTGGCCCTATATAGAGCATATATATCGCCTCCTCCAAGACTCAAGGAACATCATGGAAGATGTAGGGCAGAAAGACCATAAGAACCAGAGGATCAGGAGGCATGCCACGGAATGATGCTGGCTATGACATAGCTATTGCACTCATAAACTCACTAAAATAGGATTATGTGTACAAGACCTGCACAAGATTAGGCCATGGATATTTCATTGGGGACAGCAGAGGGCCCAGAAGAGTCCCAACCCTCCCTGAGGCACTACAGGCAATTAATGGTTGCTGAGGAAGAGGTTGTCATATCCTTCAGTGGTGTAGCCAAAGAAAAGTAGCCCAGGCTCAAGAAATAACCTCCAACCCACACTCATGCAAGCAACCTAAGCAAACTTGGTGGGTCACACACAGGACAGACATGAAAGTAGTAGTGGAACTTAGGTAGGAAGAAAAGTTTCAGTGGAGGGGCACGTGAGAGAGTAATGAGAATTATGTAATTAATGTAACTAACTATATAAATCTGCAACTGTTCATATGATAAATTAAAAATAAATAGAAAATATTATCAACTTATAAGCAAACACTAAGAAATAAAATGAATAAAGGACCTAAAACTGGGAACAGAGTAGTGCATCAGGCATTTGCATTTTAAAGAAATATTTTTTGTTAAGAACCTGTAGTCAATAATTGACTTCAATTATTATCCTCCTACATAACTTCTAACTTCAAATGGAAGGGAAGTTCAGTCTCTTAGAATTCTCTCTCTGCTGGAGGCAGAGTGTAAGATCCAGAGGTGATGGTGACTCCAAGGAAACAATGTCTTCTAGACATAACAGGACTGATGCACGGATGAACTCACAGAGATAGTGGCAGTATGCACAGACCTACATAGCTTTAAACTAGTCAGACTCCCAGAGTTTAAAGGGAGAAGTGGACACAGACCTCCACCACTATTCAAAAGGCTATTTGCAATTGATACCTGTTGGTAAAGGAGAATAGTTTCTCCAATGGAATCTTACAGGGCATATTTACCATACTTCATGGTAGGCCCCATGCCCATGAGAAGTTGGCCAATACAAAGCAAACTCAATGGTATTTTCATAAACTTTTAGTCTCATTGGGTTTTGAGCATTTTTTGTCACATTAATCCTTTGCTTGTATATTTTGGTTTCCATTTTTGTGTTTTTGTATGTGTTTCTTGCTTTTTGTTTTTGTTTGCTTTTTAAAAAGACAGAAAAGAGCATGAAGTTGAGTGAGGTGAGAAGGACCTTGGAGGCATTGGAGAAAGGGAAAGTATGATTAGAATGCATTGCATGAATTTTTCATTAAAAGCTATAAAAAAGAATTCTCTTCTTGTGATTAATAGACTATATAAAAACTAATTATAATTAAATTTCACTTGATAAAGAAACAGAATAGAATGCATTTATCAGTCATTAATGCATGTCCACTTAGGAGTTGCACTTAGGAGATGCTTGAAGCAAAGCCAAAAACAACAATAAATCTGTTCACACCGAACATACTTGTCCATCAGCAAACTGTAGAATCCCATGAGATGGCTGAAAGTCTTCCAGGCCAGCACTGTCTGGCGTTGCTTTCCAATGCACGTTTACTAACTCAAAGCTTCCAGCCAGCCGGATGACAGGAACTTGAAGAACATTCAAGGGTGGAGGCCCCTCATGAGCAGTAATTACCCCACCAGCATCCTTCAAAAAGAACAGACATTGAAAGGCAGGTCAAAGTTCAGACTCTCCCAAGCTATAACTTGTTGAATTTATTATTCTCACATGTGTAAGAAATGCTTAGAACTTAGAGCAAAATATAATGAAAAAACAAACTTGTTTAACTCTGTGGTCAGCTAAGAGAATTAAAAATCATTCATAATACAAACTTAATACTTATCTTTGTTCATATGTCTATAAACAAATCCAATTACTTTGCAAAAGAAAAAATGTAAAGGCACTTGTCAAATCAGCAAGGATGAGCCTTACTTATATTACTATATAAATATGAGAATATCATCTCACTCTGGTAACATGAAACTTAAAGATCCCTCTGGGATCATCGTTTTCTTCAATCATTATCTCCGCTATTTCCATCCTTGGTCTCCGCACACGTGGCTGCTCTGCAGGGAAGTCGGGGTTCACCAGGTTCACTGAAGTGATGGTAATGATGAGTCCTTCCTCCAGTTCAGCAGTCTCATCCTGGGAGGTGGGGAGAAAGACGCTTCATTTGGTTGTTTGGCTCCTGAAATGATGCCTATCTATGTCACCCAGGCTGGTCTCAAACCTGTGGGCCGGGGTGACTCTGAAACAGTCTCTTGAGCAGCTTCAGTTGCACACATATTCCTCCAGACCCAGATGATATTTTACAACAATATCCCATTTGCATTGTAAATCTTGAATTTTTCAGTAAGCAACTAACTATACAGGAACGGTGCCTCTGTTGTACACAAAAGTGATTTCTTGACTTATTTTAATACATCCAACACTTTCTTAGGGCATCCTCAGTATCTATATGTTCAAGATGATCTTTCAAAGGCACCCACAACTGCATTTAGCAAATGTTAAAATCCTGTTCCACAATTTTGACTTCACTCTATTGAATATATCGCACATATATAACACCCTGAAAGAAATTTAGGGCAATTTGATAAATTCTACATGTGTTTTAAAAGTGGAAGTTCTAGATATAAATCTATTATGAGTAATTTAGTAGTTACAGTTAATTTTGAAAAAAAATTATTTGTGTGAAAGTAATAAAAATACCAGGATGTAGAAGTAACATAGAGAAAAATCAAAGGAAAGCTCCACCGGGCCTTCCCCCTCCCTTATGTGCTTTTCCTTCTATCATCTCCACATGCCAGGTAACCGATAACCACCAAGACTTATAACAGGAGTACAAATATTACCACATCTACTTAACAGCATGTAATACATTTACAGTGCCTAATATATACTGTTATTAAACTCACACGTGATTACTTATAAATGTACTACTTTTTGTGACATTGCATATCAAACCTGGGATCTTACGTATGCTAGACAAGCAATTGAGTTCTGAAAGAATCCCCAGTCATGATCATTATATGTTACTATAATATTATGGGATGCGAATAGCCATACTGGCACCTCTGATTCTTGTCAACTATTTCAGGTGTGTCTGCCTGTTTGGCCCCTCTGTGTCTCTGCTTCTCTAACTCCCTTTCCTCTTTACACAGAAATAGGGAATGGCAATGAGTTACAGCCAGCAAAAGTTAGAACTAAACCACCTAAATGTTCATCTTATTGAAGTCATTGTATCATGAAGTGAAAATTCTCTCCTGCCAAGCAAAGAATAAAAATAACTAGACTGACTTGGACATTTAATTCATTCCATTATTAAAGCAGTTTATCCAACTATCTTCATAGTGTGCCCAACCAATCAGACACATAATTAACCCAAATTCAGTATTTCAAATGAATTCAAATCATTCCCGTTCTAAAACAAATACAATAAAAACACTATTGTTTTTCCATCCTATAATAAAATATTTTAATAGGAATTCTTTAACTATTACAGAATTACAGTTTTATGGATAAAAGCATGCTAGCTAATCTCATATATTATAATCTATACTTACTGGCAAAATGGCAACTTCAGCATGAGTTTCTTTTGTGTTTTCTTTCATTATTACCACTGAGTCTTGCAACACATAATCTTCATTCTCAGTAGCTTGATTATTGATGTGCAGTAAGAAATTGGGCTTCGCTATCAAATGAATGGAAATGTCCCCAAACAGTCCTTTGTCTCGAACAATATGCAACTGAAGAATAGTGATGTTCTCTAGGGGATAATGTGCCTCGAGTTAATAAGCTGTTCTGTGTTCTAATGTTCTAAGAGCTCTCAGTGGAATGCAGTCTCTAGACAGTCAAGGAATTCAAGATAACACAAGGACAGCATCCTATAGTGTTTTCTGTTTTGTCTCCATTGTTTGCAAAGTTGTGCTCAAGATTGCCACGCATACTTGCATTCATCTGCTTTAGTCCCTCTGTCCTTACAATGTAGCCCCCTATGCTTTACGTGTTACACACTTGAATAAATCTGATGGAGCCTTACAGAAGTATGGAGGTATAACAGAGGCGATAAATGCATAATCCCCAGAAACTTCTTGAGAATGAGTAGTTCAATACATAGTCATAATTTAATACTAATCATTGGAAGAGTGATTTCAGTGTCTATAATGAGGTGTCAATAACAAGTTTAAAGTGTCTCCCAGAACTTACCATTTTTTCATTCCTTAGTTTAAAATAATTTGTTATATAAAACATTAAAAATATTTATTAATATCCTCACCAGTCTAAAAGCATCAAATGATTATGTTTGTTATCAAAAGGAAGAATGTAATTCCTACAAATTACTATGTTTAAAAATGTTTATTGAATGAAAATGAACACTTTTTTATTAAAGTCTATTGCTTTGGGTCTTGCACATACAGGTAAACAAGGGCCCAGGAATATAACCACATACTACTTTTTCCATCAGCTCTGGGATTAAAAGGAATCTGAAATCTGTTTGCACATATTTTTATCTGAGAATTTTCAAGCCATTCTGTAAATTTATTCTATATTATATATAACCTTTTATTTCAATAGGCTGACTGATCATAATCTTTTAGAATGTTTATTCAACAAGGAATATGAGTAGTTATTTAGGTAAACATTTCAGCACTCTAAGACAGTAAGGACTGGCCACTGTACACACCACAGGGTGAGATCATCCTAATTGCTGTTTGGGGTGACATAATTAATACCTCAACACCAACTTCATCCCACATTGTAGCTGACTGTGCCATACACCTACTAAAAATACACAGGAAATCTATGTGTGGGATGAGGACAAGTAAAGAAACAAGAAAAAGGAAAGTAAAAGCCAATCCCTGCTACTTAAGCAGCTTAAAATTAACATTAAAGTGTGCTTTTAGAAATTATAAATACTTTAGAAACATAATTGCAAAGTGACTCCATAAGTTTAAATTAATTAAAAAGGAATACAGTCTACCAAACTGAAAAAGTGGTATGAAGAAAGAAATTTACATCCCTTTCTAATATTGTAATGAAAATGTCCAAGGAAAGGTTTTATTAGAGCTTATGAAATCTTACCAGGCTTACCTTTGGGCTCTTGCACTCTAGTAAAGAGAGAATCAGTATGCCAGCCAACCACACCATAGGGTGAGTCACTGGGCAGGATGGTTAGCACAGACATGCTTCTGTTCTCATCTATAGTAGCACCTTTGGATGGATCTTCAACCCCCTCTGTGACAACCCGAGTGAGTGTCACAGTCACAGCCTCAGATAACTCTGGAAGATCATCTGCAATAACAGTCACAGTGATTGTAGACAGTGCCTGGTCCTCTGTGAATGAAATCTAAAAATAATAACAAAAGAGTTTTGTTTATGTTGGGATTAACATCACATCATAAAATATCAATTTCTTATTTTCTTTTAATATGACCATAATTTATAAACCAAAGATGATTCTGCAATATAATATGATTTACAAACAAATCAGAGGTCTTTTATATTAAAACTAGAGGATTGTCTGAAAGGAAGTAAAGCATTTTAAAAGTGAGTTAATACTTGCAGTCAAATTGTCATATCATGGAGCCAACTTTTCATTATAAGTACAAAGTGTCTCAGGAATCATAGTGGTTGATACTATAAGTAAATCTCTAGAAAATAAAAGAGTGCTTTACCAGTTTAAATGTTTTTATCTACAAAGCTTTTGCAGTAACTGATACTACAGATGGATGCATCATTTAGCAATGAATACTGATTGAAAAGAGAGAAGAGAAAGACAACAGAGATGCAGGCCACAACCTCCCTCTTTCCTTTCTGCTTCCATTGTCTGATGTCAAATTCAAATATGCTGAAAGCATCTGAAGTCCTTGCTAACAGAGATCTGCCCCCTTCTTGGATGCCATTCCTACATCAGTTATCTTTTTTTATGAACAAACACAGATTCATTACTTATTTAACTGGAACTTCCTGTTTTATTTATTTTTTTATCAAAATAGCCAAAATGTAGCACCAAAGAGTCCATCCGGTAGAGTTTGGCTCCCATCTTATATCTGTGAAATCTTAGGATTATGATCATAAACTTTGGGTCTCAAGCATCAGAGTTGTAATGTTATCCAGATCAGCAGTCTAGGAACTGTCCAAACTGCCTGAGGTGTATTATATCATGGGCATTTCATTTGGAAGGTGCACTTGGCCTTCTGACAACATGAACACATGGTATGCTTTGAGGAATCCTTTGATACAAATCAGGATTCCATTGATACAAATAAAATACTAAGTTTTTTTTAAAATTACTTCCTTAGCCATTTGGTGGTGGTACATGCCTTTGATCCCAGCACTCTGGAGGCAGAGGCAGGCAGGTCTCTGAGCTCCAGCCAGCTTACAGCGTGAGTTCCAGGACAGCCAGGACTACACAGAGAAACACTGTCTCGAACAACAAAAACAAAAGAAAAGAGGTAGTTCCTTAAGGCTCATGTTCTGCATGAAGGTTGTGGCTCCATGGTAAAGAGCTTGCCTAGCATGAGTGGCACTCCAGAACCTGGAGCACCATTCATCCTAATATCTATTTCCAAATCAACTATTCAAATTACGATTGCAGGCTGAGGCCTCTAGCTCTCTTATGAGCCATGCCTTTCATATATAAATGAAGTTTTATTGGGATGCAACCAAACAGACTTGATTGAACACAGTCACTACCTATAATAACTGCTCTGTATTACCTGGCACAACTGTACTATGAAGGCACAGTAGTTATTTTTAAAAAAGAACAAACAATACATAAAATCTGAAGCATTTCCCATGTGACCCTTTACAAAAAATATCTGATTCCTATATTGCATAAAAATAACTCTTTCAAAAATTATCTCAAGGAAACAGGCAATTACATTTTTTAAATGTTAATCATATTCATATAATAAACTAGAGAAATATAATTTAATCATACAGAAACAGAGATACAACTAGTAGTTTTGTTAATTTGCATAGAATTGAGTGTAAAATACAAGAGACTACTAAGACATCCTTAACACATCGAAGTGCCCATCATATTTGAAATGGTAAGAACCTAGAAATGATAAACTGTTATATACATTTTTCCAGGAGATAATTTCATAAAAGATCCTTTAAATAATTCTTTAGAGAAATATTTGGGGGAAAAATTGACCTATGAAAACCGGAAACACATGAGGTCATGTTCCTGCAAAAGACACCTTGTAACTTCTCTGTGACTCAACTAACTGTTCCTTTGGTCATTCTGATGACATGTTTGAAACAGAACACCAATTTTAGGCTAATCTGCATAATGGGTAACGTGATCCTCAGCCCAGACCCATTTTGTGGCTGCTGAGCCCATTCCTCAACTAGTGGGAACAGCAAATTCTGTGTTTACCTTCAGAGACAGCCCCCAGCTTTAGCAAATGGCCCTTAAGTCAACCCGAACCTAGAGGCACCCTAGGACCACTGCTTAAAGAAGGATAGCAATGGATCAGATCTGATCTTGGGATGGCAGCCAAGCACCAGCTTAGACACAGAACCCTTCCCCAGAATCACCCTCCACTGGACCTGCAATTGCCTGTGGATCTGTTGAGAGCAGTGCACAAAGGTCCTAAAGCCCACAGATCTCCAGAGAAACCAGGAATGTTAAGCACAGAAGATTGTCTTTCCAATGGGAAGGATGAAAAACCTGTTCTTCCATCCAGAAAGCTGCCAATTGATTAGCAGCATGGTGATCTGTGCTATCTGTTGGACCAGGCTATACCAAGCTCCTACAATCAAGACTAGAGGTAGCTAGTAATCCAAGTGACCCTGACAGCCAGAGGCTCCCCAACTTCCCACAACCAGGACCAGGACCCTTAGGCCCTTAAGCTACACAGGTAGCTATCTCTAGAAGCCATTTTCTTGGAGGAAATGACACTGAGTTGAGTAGTTTCAATGTAATAGCACTTCCTTGTGCAATGGGGATTGTATTACATTGGGAAAGGTTTTTTCCAAACTATGCTGGGCTTAAATACATTGGAAATAAACTGCCTGTTATTAAACTCCCTGAAGTCTGATCCAAGTTGACAATCTGGACCAGGTTTTCATTCTTTCCTCTCCACAGGCTTCGCTTTCCTATATGATCTGAAGGAACCCCCTTAAGGCTTGACATTTCCCTCTATATGTTCCTACCTTCCTCACCTCCATCTGACTAATTCATGGAAGCCTCCTGCTCACAGCTGTCACCTCAGTTTACTCACAGCAAATGGAAGCTTGTCCACAGCTTTCATGGACTTCTCATTTGCCTATTTCCCACAGACTTGTCCTCTAACCACTGTTTTCTATCTGGACACATTTCCTTCCCAGTTTAGCTCATCTTATCCTTCTAATACTGCAATGCAATTTGGCTGACTCACATACTGAACCTCAAAAGGGTTTGCTTTATGTACAGATAGTTTTTCTCTCATAGAAAAAAAAAAAGCAGTAACAAAACTATGCTTAAATTGCACCCTACTCTGTGGTGATTAGCAAGAAAAAGTGGTCAAACTCCAATATTTCCTCCAGCAGGCAGGATTTGATCAGTGAATGATAATTGTAATTTCTAAGTGTCTTCTGTGATTCAGGGAACTACATACCACTCCTGAGGTAGGAAATACATCACTGATACTTCCAGCTGCTTCCCATGCTACAGTTATGCGGCCATGTGTCCCTTTCAAGCGTTCAACATTCAAGGTTACCAGGCTGTCTCGATCCATTTCTTCCACTTGCTTATGCAACGAATTCTGAAAGATGCACAGAAAGGCACAGGGATTCCTTGAAATACCAAAGCAATCTCTTCTTTGTTTTGCATTACTACATATTTGCAAGGTTCATAATTCTGAACAATGGGAAACTAAATGAAACACAACAGTCATGAACAGTGATGGAGTGTAAGGTGTGCTCAGGCCTGTGATGCCCAGAAGACAGGAAGACAAGTGTGGCAGACTACATAGGGCAACTAGCTCAATGAGCAAATACATAAATCACCTAAAGTCACAACAAACCATTCATCTTATCGAACTGCGTTTATGTTTGTCTTCCTGACATATATTGACCAATGGGCATATGTTACTTTATGCCTAGCATACATTGCATTGACAGGTTTGTAGAATAACAAGAACACAAACCGGAATGACAGGGAAAACTTTTGCCTCTGTGTAAAGGCCCTCTAGATCTCCCTCTCCTGTTAGCAAATTAAGAGTTAGCCCTGGAAATCTCCAGTACCACACCCAATGCCCCAACATCATGAGAATTGAGATAACACTCATCTCTGCTCACTTGCTAATGTATCTTACACTTAAATCCATGTCCTGTGAAATAGTCAATTAGCTGACCTATTTCTTTTGATGATGTTTCGTTTCTTAGCTCACGGTCTGTGCAACTGCTCTTCCTGCCAGAAAAGGAAATCCCTTTGTGTTGTGTCATGATTCCTTTTCCCTACCCATCCTTCCCAGCCATGTTTCTTCGTTTGATTCTAACATCTACCACTCCGTGACTGTATCACACACAACACCTCACACTAGCTACTTAAAGACCTTTTCCTCAGAAGGAATACTCTCACATATGTCCAATCTTCATGTGTCATGGCATGAACTTATGTCTACAGAGTCCATGATTAAGAATTGTACAATTGTGTTGGCTAAAAGCCCCTCCTAATGCTTTAAGTTTATGATTTTGCATCCGGCCATATTCACAGTTGGTGACACACAGCTCTACGTGGACACAAATCCCTTCTTTGAAAGCATCCTCCATTTCTCAATAAGGCAGTCAGAATAAAGATGCTTTTAAAAAAACTATTTCCTGTAGAATTTCCCATGTGTTGTTAACAATGGCCATCTGAAGAGACCCCTCCTTAAAGCTTACAGAAATGTTAATTTGAATACAGATCTAACCCAAGAAGACATTTCCCACAGCTGTTCAGTGTTATGTTACACATGTTTCAAAGTCACAAAACTGTGCTTAAGGTGAGCAAATTTTCACAAAACATCAGATTTTAAAATAGGCACATAATTTATTCAGGGCTCCATGTTCTTCATTACTGATGGTTAGGAAGATGAGACCTTCACACAGCCAGAAGATGTACCAGAAATTCTACTGAACCTCATCTAAAGGTGGCTGTCCAGATAGGTGATTCGTACTGTGGGACTCTGCTAAGGAATCCTATGTTAGGCAGGGCCTGCAGGAACTCCAGATCTTGCCCAGAGGCAAGAATGAAACCACAGGGGGTTTGTGTATCTAGACAAGCTTCCTAAGAGAAGCTCTGGGTGAGAGGGTGGAAGGAGCCTATGCAGGTTGTCACCTCTCAGGTTCTCAGCTCATTACCCCCAGCCTTGCCCTTCACATTTTTCAGAAGCACTGGGAAGCCCTGTGTTATCGTCACCCCTGGACAATGACAAGCTCCACCTAGTTGTCCAGCTGTAAACATAGCAGCCTCCAGCTCATGTACTTTTTAACTTTAATAGAAAGAAACTGGTAACCCATAAATGTCCCAACTCTAAGTGTCCTTAAGAAGAAAAGGCAGGACATGAAGGTTCAGATGGGGGCACCAGTTGTCACCCACCCCTTCTGATAAGGTGTCACCTGCAGAGAGGCCTGAAGAAGTAATGAAGATGTCAGCATCTTGTACAGAGGGGTTTTATTTCTGGATCTCCCTAACACACAGTTCAAATCCTAAAAAGCTGCCCTATACTATGTGTGACCTACTGTCCACATATGACCCCTGAATGGTTGAGATTCACTGGTCTCTAAATGTAAAGACAAGGCAGTAAAGAATGTAAAATATTAAAGCTATAGTATTTATACATGTTGAAATCACAGCATTCTGGATATACTCAGTTAAATAAAGTATTCTATTTAAACTGGTTTTCTTTCTCTGTTTCTTAAACTGGCTTGATTCTTTCTCTCTTCATAAATGTGTCTACTAGGAAACAAAACTATAAAATTATCCCTATGCTCACATTCTATTTCTATTCAGCCTTCTCAGGTTTTTTTCCTGGTTCAGGGAAGGGCCAGATTGGAAAACAGTGTAATCTGCCCCCTACAGGCAGATTCAGGAAATTCATGCACAAACCTCATCCCCCTATACCAGCTTTTCCCACAGTTGTCCCCAAGGAAGTAAAGGGTAGATTCATGCTTCCCACAGATCCATCATGTGATAAGGGCTTCAAATTAATGTCACTTTCCACTTAGAATATTTTCACAATACAATAGCTAGAATGAACCTGTTCAAAGCAAATCATGGACTCCTTTCCCCCAAAGACCAAATTCACTGTCACTGAGTGGCTTATCCAGGTTCTAACACAGCAGGTCTGGCTGCTAGCCTGCAAGAGCAAAGCTCAAGGGGCTGACCACCAGCTGGTGTCTACGAATTTGGTTTTCAAGAGGTCCCTTCAGTCCCCTTAACTAAGTGGTTCCTATGTACAAACAGTTCATACAAATGATATGGCTTATGATTTATGCTGGAATCTGTCTTCCTTCTGGGATCCTAAGTTTTGAAACATGTAAGGGTGTAAGACAGAGGGTGACCAGCTTGCAATGGGAACCCTGGCTTTGAGGCTGTACTAGGATTCTCCGAGTCTCTGAGTGGCCAAATTCTACAAGTGTTGCAACAATACAACTCAAGGCCAGGAAAATTTGGTTTGATACATTCTATGTGACTCCATGGATAAACAACTCTTAGAATCTCACCCCTGGTTTCTTCTGGGATTTCCTCATGAGTATTTTCCATATGTGCATGTACACAAAGATGGGTATATATGTAAATATTTTGATATATATCATTTATATATGCATATAATACACATACATAATATATTACATATAATATATAATATGTGGTATATGCATATATAATAATAATATACATATCCATAATATATGTGTATGTGCACGTGCACACACACATGAACACATAGCCACTAAACACCCAGTACTGTGAACATCCCTACTGAGTCACTGAAGCTCTAGATGGTCATAGGGACTCTGAAAGCATCTGGCAGTAACTGGACTTGAATAGGAAAACATTATTGTAACAACAACAGGAGCTTCTGAGCAAGCAGAACAAGGACTTGGCTTTCCAATGATAGCATGAAGAGGGCCATTAGCCCAGTCTGAACCATGGTAACACAGAGTAACATGCAGCCAACCCACCAGCTCCTGGTCTAACTTTGTAGTTGCTGTGCTCCTGGTGGTTAAGCCTATCTCAACTAGTGTTTCCTTACACATGCGAGATGCTAGAGAAAAATACAGTAGAGCTGTTAATATAACAAGTTAGTACAACTCAATACACTTTGAGGATAGAAATAAATAACATAATATGAATGTCTATCTTTCTTCTCATTGGTAAAGGAATATGAAGCCCAAGTATATGGAGAAGATTTTTAAAGTTCATTCCTTGAGGGAAAAAAGGCAAAGGCATCTACCTGTGTGTAGCACAATGCCTGTACAGCTATAAACCCCCCACTACTTCCTCATTTGATGTTATATGTTTATGTGTCATGTGAGATATAATACACTGTGTAGTATATCTAGATCTGTTTCATTATTACCTTCTGGTTTTAAAAGTCTTTTAAAAGATAGTACCTGAAGCAAAATATTGGGACAAGACCAAATGGTAATGTGTCATAGTCAAGACAAGTAAATAGGCAAAAACCAAACTAGGACATGGTATCCAGAGAACCCAGGGTTTACGTTTATAAAGTGTAATGTCAGTAGAATTCACTTTAGAATATGGAAGAAATGAGACCAGGCAAGGGAAAGGATAAAGACTGTCATTCACTCCTTAAAAGCTTATTCAACCTAAGTTGTCAACCTGACAACTTTGACTTTTAAGTGTACCTGGGCAAATGCTATAACTCCATAGGCATCATCGTTCGATAGAACAGTGACTCTCACGTAACTATTAATGCCAATCTCTGCTCCTCCTTTTGGATTCTTAAGTTGAACTCTGAAGGATTCTTCTTCTTCTGGAACTGTATCATCAAGGATGTTTACTGCTATGATTGCTTCTTTGTCACCAGGTTCAAATATCAGTTCACCTAAACTAGCATAAGAAACACATATAGAAATAAGATGATGATGATGATGATGATGACCAATTAATGATATACATAGTAGTTTAGTCCCAAAATTCTTATCACCCTGAATAACACTGGTCTTACAAGGATCAAAACATTTCATAAACAAAATTTTCATACAAAATATTTCTATAATCCTGATTAACTTGGTAGATGAGATACTAAAAGTATGAATGACAGATTTCCATCTTACTAACAGCTCTTACATTTTATGTAAATCAGTAACTGAGTCAATGAGATGGAGGAATTTGGTGTCATACAAATCTGTGGTGAGATTAAAAGCATTGAACCTACCTAGGAATAAAGTCAGACTGGCTGGAGATGTGAGTCAGCTCACAGACATGCGAGTGAGGAGTTCCCACTAAAGCAATTAGAGTTTTGCTTGAATTGAGCGACTTTACTGTAACAAAGGCTGCATCGTCAGCAGCAGGTGCTTCCAGAACAAAAGAGAATTCACTCAGCTCTGAATTCCAGCAGTAAAGAGCAGACTGCTCATGGCCAGTTAGAAGTATGTGGACTGGAAGAAGGAAAGAAAAGGAACAGACTGAAGTGAATCCTATGCCCACACACGCTCTCTTCTCAGCTTCAAAGCAAAACCTTTCCAACTCTTGAAGCTCCACACTGATTTCCAGACTAAAGCAAAAATGTTTGTTTTCAAAACAACAGGATATAAGAAATTTTGGGGTGTTGACCAATTCAGCTTAACAATGTGCACACATCTGTTCAAGAAAAGAAAAGTCACTGGCTGATAAAACAAAATGGATTTTTTGATTCATTTGTGTCTGTCTCTACACTTATATAAAAGTAACTTTTCAAAGCAAAAATCACTCATTGTATCACCACCAAATATTTCACTTTCATATTTTCTTCTCTAGTAACCATCACATATGTTTATAATTGACAGCTGTAACAAATATAAACAAAAGTTCTAAATCATCCCATTCCATAAGAAAAACATGGCACAGCATAATGAGCTACCGCTTAGTATTCAGGTTTGTAATCGTTTAAATTTTTACAGATTTATTTTGTGTGCATGACAGTGTGTGTGTGCGTGCACACCAGGGTGGACATGTAGGTCAGAGCACAGCTCTCAGGAGCTGCTTTTCTCCCCATCACATGGGGTCTGGGATGAAACTCAGTGGCAGCAACAGCCTTTACTCACTGAGCTACCTCACCACCACAAGTTTCTAACTCTAATATATGAGTTCTAATCTGTATAGCTGTTATTAACTATACCTAATAATTCCTGTCTATTGAGTTTTTCTTGTTGTTTAACATTTGAAGTTCTCAGCATTAAGTAGAAGCAAAATATTTGCTTTCATCTGGCAAATTATTAAAGATACTTAATCAATTCAAAGATATGAACGAACTTATGACACTTTAAACATACTCTGCTCGAGCACTTTTGATGCTACCAGGCCTCATGCCTTTGTTAATTCACAGCAATGGCATGCATTTGCAGCTACATAGGCTAGGAAAGAGGTGGCTTCAAATGCTACATATAACACTAACCACTCTTCAGACATAAATGGAGTGGGGCTGGGAAACCATAGAGAAGTATAGGCATATTCTAGTGTTGACTGACACATTCTGAAGCACAAGGATGGTAAGCATTAAAATAACTGAGTGAGCATTAAAATAACATGAATCCTGAAAGGCCGACAACCTTCTAATATGCTACCCCATAGGTTACAGTGGGAAACCTAACATCCTGACTCTCAAACATCAAAAACTCTTGGTCGTTTGGCTAGAGTTAATATATTAATTAGATTAACTAATTTAAGTACTGTTGCATGTTACTAAGACTTTCATAAATGTAAAGATCAGAAAAATGTTAATATATTAGAATCTTTAAATGGCAAATATTTGCACAAAGTTTTGTAAAATTACAAAAGATAACAAGCTCTATCATGACATTTAAAAAGCTTCCCTTCAAAGTGGTCAACAAAGAGAATCTCCTTATCTTTGTCTCTATGTCTCTAATTCTGTGTCTCCCTTTTTCTCCTTTTTTCCCTCCCTCCATTTTTCCCACAAAAGGCACTATAAGTTTTAGGATAAAGATAGCAATCCTTTAACTCCCCAGCTAACTGAAGTAATATCTTTCTTTGTTCATGCCTCTTGCCACTGTTTCCTCACTGCCTGTGTTCAGATTACATTGGGCTCTTGCTGGTTGCTTCCAGAAAGTACATGCTCACTGCCACCGCCTAAACTCTTTGTACAATTTGGATGCTTTGCCGAAAGCTCATCTCCAGGTCACTCTCTGCCTCCTACTTAATCCATAATTCCTAATCCCATGATTATTGAAGAAAGCATGTCATAAACCAGTTCAATTTCTTGCCAATATTTTATTCAATTATTTCCTGGAAATTATCTCTTATAGTTACAGTCTTTATTGTCACGTGTGCACGCATGCACGCATGCACACACACACACACACACACACACACACACTCTTTATCCTACTACACACTACATTTGCAAGGCAGAGACTTCATGTGATTTGAGCTGCCCTTGTTCCCACAGGCTCTGCCACTGTGATTGTCACCTTTAAAAAATCTATTAATAAAGTAGCAAAAAAAAAGAAAGAAAGAAAGCAGCAAGTCTACATATCCTTGCAATATTTGTCCTGTTCTTTTTCCCTCTTCCATTTTCAGAAATCAGTCATCGAACCAACCACAGCGTTAATATGTGAACCTATGCCCCTGGCTCCGATTTAACATTTTTAATAAAAACATTTGACATATACAAAATAAGAACTCCTTTGAAAATTCTTGAATGCATACTTTCAGCTTTCAGGGACTTATAATAGCTACTCTAAGTAATTTCCTACAGTCTTTCATGCCTCTACCACTTCAAATCACAGAAACAAAAGAAACAGAGAGACCTCACAATGGGCTCTTCATAAAACCTCTGGCAGAATTTTCCCTGAATTCTTTTGGAAAATGCATCTATTATATATTTTTTAAATCTTTAAAAGGAATTCTATAACTTCAATTAACAACCCATACATGCAGTACACTTCTTTAAAAACACTCATTAGACAACCATTGTGAATATCAATAAGTGACTTGAGTAGACAGTCAATCCATTTGAAAACCTGAGGCACAAGAGAAGCAGAAATTAAAGGCCGAAAACTAAAGAATAATGAAAAAACTGAATGAACATAACGAAAGATACATATTCTATTCACTAAATCAGTTGTTGAGCAAATAAGAAAGCCAGTCTCATTGTACATCGCAGGATAGCATCACAATGCATGTCCACTGTGAGTGCAGGGAAGGGATGGGTCAGGTCTCCAGGTATAGAGAGACAAGTGTGGAGGCTGGAAAGCCACACAGTGGACCAAGTAAAAATTAGAGGATATACTATGAATGCAGAGGCTAGGAGGAAGAAACATGGAAACAAAGGAAATTATGTTTTTCTCTCTCAGTAAGAAACATGGTTAAACAAACAAACAAACCAAATGAGAGGAAAAGCCCTCATTCAAGCTCAAAGGTACAGCACCTAACAGAAAGCAAGAACTAGAATTCCATGAAGAAGCAAAAGCAGATTCCTGAAGTCTGTGCTAATCCTCCCAACCTCCTATCATTTACTCTGTGTGTCTGCACTGCACAATCTCACCTGTCTCCAAGCATCAGAGTCTGAAATCTAAACCTCTGATTTCCCCCTATTCCACTCTACACCTCTAACCACCTGGGATGTTTTGCCATTGCTTTGAATTATAGCCACTAGAACCACCACGCTGGTGATTGCTTTCAGTAGATGAATTTTTCCCAAAGCCTTTCTTAATTTCAATACTAAAAGCCTCATAATTGTCAAAGCATGGAGATTTTCTGAGTACATCTGAGTAGTCAGAACTCCTAATGAATGCTCATCGCTGTATCTCTTGTTCACAGATCTTTTGTGCAGCTCAGGTCCCTTCCAGCTTGGACGTTCTTTCATATGCTCAGAGAGAGCTCTTACACATTTCATTCCTATTTCTCATACCAAAGCCAGATGACACTGTCAAAGAAGGTCTGTGACCAGCATTTGCCTCTGAAATGCCTTTAAGGACATCTCTACCGAAGTCATGCTCAGACTATGAGCCTGGAACTGCTAAGAGTCTGGGACACTTAGATAACCTGTGAGGGTCAAACTGTTTCTACAGTAATTCAGAGATGCCATTTGGCTACTTGACACACTCCTGAGTCTATGTGACTGGTTATGACAAAATGAATCCAGATGCAGAGAGACAGATAACACTCGATTTCTCTTCTATAGGCTATGACCCTTCATATGAAATGTAAAGGGCTAGAATGTTTCAGATTTCAGAGACCTTTCAGATTTTTGAATACTTACATATATCGACAAAATGTACTGAGAATTAAACACAATTATAAACATAAAACTCACAAGCATTGTGGTGCACACCTTTAATCCCAGCACTTTGGAAGCAGAGGTAGGTGGATCTGTGAATTCGAGGCCAGTCTGGTCTAAAAGTGAGCTCCAGAATAGCCAGAGCAATGTAGAGAGACCCTGTCTCAATAAAAAAACACATAAAATTCACATTCCATCTTGCATTATGGGTGACAGTAATCTTACACAATATTTTTATTAATTTTATGCCTAAAGCAAAGTGTTGTGGGCTTGATTTTTCACTTGTCACATCACTTCATATTTCAGATGTTCATAATAAGAGCACTCAACCTGCATGAGAGTCTTAAAAGACTGAACTCTTTGAAAAAGAACCTACAATGGGGCTAAGGGCAAAACAGACCAGCAGGCTTGCATCCCAAGCCTTCCAGCCTGAGTTCGATTCCCAGATTCCATGCAGAAAAGCAATGGGGTGGCTTGCTTCTGTAGACTCAGAACTTTACAGTGTGATGGGAATAAAACTGTCCTTGCACCTCCACATGCAACCGTGCCATAAGCTCACCCATCAGTGCACATGCATGTGTGCATACATATACAAATAAATAAATAAATCTTTAAATAAAAAAATGTCTGCCATGTTGGTTGCCAAGGGCTTACACTACAGAAAATGGAAGCAGGTTGATCAAAGAGTAAGATCTTCAGCTGCTGATAATTTCTGGAGATCTCATTATACAGGGTGGTAACTGCACATCTAATAACGAGTTGAAAACTCAGAATATCCTAGGAGAGTAAAGCTTGAGTTTTTATCACATACACACAAAGGCAAATATGTGACTTGATAGGCCATATAGCTTAATGAAACAATGATTTCACATACATTTGAAAGCATTACATGGCACACATTAAGTACATGCAGTGCTTCTAAGTCACCCATACTTAAATATAGATAGAAAAAAAAACAAGTAATCAAATTAAAAATGACCTAGATGTTATCTAATAAGCCAGACATTAGATAAAAACATCATTCTTCTCAGAAATGCTTCTGTGAGAATTGTTTTTAGATAAGCATTACAGGGACTAAAGGGATGACTCCACATAGGAACACTTTCAGCACAAAAGAGGTCCTGAATTCTGATCTTAGCATCTGCATAAAAAGGCCAGGCATGGCCATGACTGCACACACCTGGCAATCCTATAAGCTGAGCTCTGTGGGAAGTGGAGACAGTTGTATCTCTGGGACTTGCTGACTGCCAGTCAAGCTCCAGGCTTAGTGAGGGTCTCTTTCTCAAGGGAGTACAGAACAGGACAACACACATCCTCATTAAGTTTGCACACACACACACATATACATACCTGCACATACATGCTACATACACATACATATGTACATATATACATATGTACATAATTCATACTTACAAAAATTAACAAAATAGATAATTTAAAATACTATAAATATGAAAATACTTTGTGAATTTTAAAATAAATAAATATGCTTCCAAATGTCTCCATTAGCTTCTAATACAATTAGTCTCAACATATATAACTCAGACAAACAAATTTTTTGAGAACCTTGGGTATGTAACACTAGAAAGGTCCAAAGACCAAGGACTGTCTGATACACATGTCTGAAGCAGTCCTTCCTTGTCCAGACTTCAGTAGGAATTCCTACAATTGGTGGTGCAATGTTCTGCAGTCAACTAATGGTGCCTTCAGTGTAACAAAGATTCCTGTTGACTTCCTCCTGTGTCAACAGGGACCTCTGTCCAAATGTTCCAGACAATCCACACTATCCCAGCTTAACCCTTCCACCACATAGCTGACCAGCTCCACCCAATGTGCTGGCCTGGATTAGCATCTTTACTATATTTTTCTTTACTTCTCCAAATAGATGAGCCCTCTTTAAAAAGCAAGGAATTCTTGTAACATTGACAAAGATAATATCTCACTTTCAAATACGTATACTTCAGTTCTCAGCAGTATCCCCATGTCAATCTAAAATAAGACTGGGTATTGGTTAGTGAGATAAGGAAGGTTATCTAACAGCAAGCCTGATGACCTTAGTTCAGTCTCTGAGACCTTCATGATGTAATGAGAATCGTCACTCACAAGTCTTCCTCTGACCTTCATATATGTACTGTGGTACATGTACATTCACATACACACACAAATACATAGATGTAAAACATAACATTTATCAAAGCAGGAATGTGGTGCACCTACACATCAAGCTTAGATTGCCTGCTCCTCTTGGAACCTCAACAGGAACTGTGAGTCCCTCCAAGGGAACACAGTCCCTCTGGAGACAGTTGACAGACACCTTTCGAAGAGGTCTGGAGAGAAACAACACACACACACACACACACACACACACACACACACACACACACACACACACACACACACACAGGCTTCAACTTCTGCCACTGGCTCAAGCGACTCCTAACCAACCCTGAGATTCCTTTGGCATTCAGCTGGCAGAAACACCACAGGTTCTCACTAACAAACTTTGCTTCAGAAATCAATGTTTCAAAACATGGTTTATATTTCATGTGTGTGGATTTAAGTACCGAGAGGACTTCCAAATGGACCAGGAGACTAGGAGAGTGAAAGATAGTAGAGCCCAAACCATAATGTTTTCTGCCTGTGAAAAAAACAATAAATGAAAATATGTGCTATATCCTTACACATACTTTTGTATTTTAAAACATATTTAATGTCTTTTCATTTTTTGCTAGACAAAAGAGACAAACCACAAGGTTAATGCACTTTTTCTTCACTAACATTTCCTCCAATGCCTGCTTCTCTATTATTCACAAACATAAATTGCCCATTTTTAAGGTATCAATCCTGGGGCTGAAAAGATGGCTCAGTGATTAAGAATATTTGTTGCCCTTGCAATGGACTCAGATTTGATTCCCAGAATCCACACTTTGGCTAACAACTATCAATAATCCAGTTCCATGGTATCTGTCTTGGGCAGGTTTGTCAACTTGACACAAAGCTAGATATATCATATATCAATTATCTTAATAATTGAGAAAATACCTCCAAATATTGGCCCGTAGCAAACTTCCATGGGAGCATTTTCCTGATTAATGATTGATCCAGCCCACTGTGGGCTGTGAGACCTGCCTTGAGTTTCTGCCTTAACTTCCCTCACAGATGGAGTATGATCTGGGAGTTGTAAGGTGACAAACCCTTTCCTCGCCAAGCTGCTCTTGGTTTGGTGTTTCATCACAGCAACAGAAACCCTAAGACAGGGTGTAATGCCCTTTTCTGACTTCCATGGCAACAAGCACACACACACACACACAATATAAAATAAAACACAAAACACATAATAAATCAGAAAGCATCAGTGTTTTTTGAAACTATGGGCCTTCTGGATGGATTATTATAAAGATTTGATGGTATACTATTACTAAAATGGTTTCTGAAAACAAGCTATTCTGTCTAAATTCAAAGAGAATGGAGTCGGTCTGGCTTCCCACACTGATTTAAGATGGGCTAGCAATAGAAAAGTCCTTACCTATTCCAGAAGCTGGTGTGAAGGAACGCATTCTGTTAACATTAGCAAAGTCCAGGGACTGGAAATATCTGAAAGATGACTGCCCCATCTCCCAGATAAAAATGTCAATTGAATTTTGATTTCCTATGAGTAAGAAATAAAAAGCAACAAGCTGTACAAAGAAAATGACAAAACTTCACAATAAAACTATAGTAAAACATTAAAATCAATTAACAAAAAATTTTCTATAGAATATATATATTTTAACAATGCAACTTGGCATGGAACACTGCAAGCCTTTTCTGTTTTAATCATGTGAAGCACACACACACACACACACACACACACACACACACACACACAGTGATATATTCTGTCACATGAAGCACACAGACACTAAGACACACCAGGAGACATAGTCTATCATGTGAAGCACACACTAAGATACAACACAAGAAAGAACAGAATTAAATATGTATTCTTATGCAGATTATACTGTGAATCAGTTTTATAAAAAAATCACTAGACTCAATCAGCTCTATAAATTTCTCATGACACTCCAAGTACAGTCATATAAAATTATAACTTTTGGAAGCCTGCCTATCAAATCTTTATGCACCTTTTACACATTACCCACCTACTCGTCATCTTATAGGAATATGAGTTTAAAATGGTGGTTTAGCACAGCACAAGACCACAGGTATAAAGCCTTTTTTGGCAAAACCCATTTCTAACTGACATTAGTACTCTCAATCAAAAAGTCTATGGATCATCAAAAAGGAGACAATTTCACATAAAATGGACAGCATAATGCTATAGCTTTGGTAGTAACTGTGCATATATTACAAACATCATATTTCCTCACCTAGAACAGTATTTTTGGCAAAAAGTAAATAAACATCATCGCCTGAAGACAAAGCCTCCACTTGTGTTATCCCGCTGGCTGATACTTCTTGAAAGTCAGTAAACAGACTACCAGACCATGTGAATAAAATGGCATTTCGTGTGACAGTAGTCTGGGAAATGGCTAAGAAGATAGAGCCTCCTCTGTGGAACAAGGCCATGCTCAGCACACCTCGGACTGGTAATGTCTGATGTAAGGCAAAGATACTCCCAGTCCATCTGAAGACCTGTAGGGAAATTCAAATGCAAAGCTCTTACCACCAGGAATACAGCACCTTTGACAATTTAGCATGCCCATAGGCCCTTCTGTTTAGTTGGGAGGGTAGTGATATAATAGAAAAGTAATGCATTAAACAGTCTTTCTCTGTGACTCTCTTTTTCTCTCTCTCCTCCTTCCATCCCTCGTGTGTATGTGTGTGGGGGGCAGGGTATAATGAATAAAAGAGAAGTTATTTGAGAAGAAATCAGTAGGAAATATATAGGGAAGTAATAGAAGTAGAAAAGCAAAAATAGAAGAAAATTGAACTAAGTCTAAAATACAAAACCATTGATGCCTTGATGTCTTCACCAGCATCTCAAACAACAGAATACAGAGGTATCTTCACCCTATGGTAGAGTCCTATTCTCTGTCCTTATAGTATCTTATAGGCATATAGGGTTTATGGGAGTATCCACAGAGTAAACATCAAAACCTTAAAAGAAAGTTCATAATTACAAGTTCATTCTACAGCCTGGTCACATTTAGAAAGAGTTGTAATACTTAGGCAAAGTTTGGACCTTCAACCAAGCATTAGGCTAGGGGTGATGAATACAGTGGTCTTTTCCATCTAAGAGCCCATCAATTATTAGAAAAGATAATTAAGGTATCAATAAGTGAATAAATGAAGACTGCATGCTGAGACAGTACTGAAATGACAATTATGGTGGGAAGCAGAGAATGCGGATGTCCTGAGGGGGTCAAATTAGACATGCTGGCTCCGAAGACAGAAAGTGTGTCTTGTTTTGGGCAAAGACTAATCTAACTTGAAAGGACATTAAGGGAATGGGGGGCTGGAAAGGTAAGGCAATGCCTTTCTGTGGAATGATGACAATTTATAGGTCAAATATGAGTCTCTGAGACAGTGAAGAATAAGTAAGAAGGGGGTATATTAAGGCAACAGGCATGCTGCAGCTCCAACTTGAAAAATGAGGAAAGATGACAGTGCTATATAACATACAGTCTATATCAAAAACAATCCTCTTCACCAAAGAAACTAGGAAACAAGAAAGACTCTAAGCGAAAAATGCATGTACCCCAGAGAATGGGAATGGGCAGGAACTCCTGAGCTAATTGGGAGCATGAGGGTAGGGGAGAGGGAGCTGCCAGAACGAGAGGAGAAGAGGAGAGGAGAGGAGAAAATGGAGGAGCAGAAATGTTGAGTTTGGGGAAGAATAGAGGAGAGCAGGATGAGAGATACCATATCAGAGAGAGCCATTATAGGTCTGAGGAGAGATCTGGCACTAGGGAGATTTCCAGATATCTACAAGGATGACACCAACTGACAATCTAGGCAATGATGGGGAGGATAACCTAAATGCCCTTCCCCTATAATGGACTGATAACTACTTTTTATGCCATTCTAGAGACTTCATCCAGTAGCTGATGGAAGCAGAGGCAGATACCCACAGATATACACTGAGCTGAACTCTGGAACTTAGTTGCAGAGAGGGAGGAATGAAGATCAAAGGGGTGAGTACCAGACTGGTGAACCCCACAGAAACAGCTGGCTTGAACAAGGGGGAGCACATCGACCCCAGACTGCTGTTTGGGAGGCCAGTGCAGGACCGATCCAGACCCCTGAACATGGATGTCATTGAGGAGGCCTCTGCACTCTAGGGGGCCCCTGGTAGTGGATTAGTATTTTTCCCTGGTGTAAGAAGGGACTTGAAAAAAATGAAAATTTTAAGTGTAATTCGAAGTTGCTGAACACTTTTAACATGAGGAATAACACAAACCATCATTGTCTCAAAGGTAGCTGTGGATTCTAAACAGAGAATGGGTCTGCAGATGTCAGGGAAGTGTAGAGATGGGATTGAATGGGTTCTAACTGTCTCAGTGAGAAATGATGGGGAGATGCCTTGGGGGTTAATAAGTAGGCAGATGTGCCTGTATTCTAAATATAATCGAGATATTCATAAAAAGCACTTAATGGTAGCAATATATAAAAGGATATGAAGAAATAATTAAGCATGGGATATCCTATATTTACTCTCAAATCATTCCACTTCTTTGGGCCACCATTACCTGATAAAAGCAAAAATGAAACAAGTCGCATGGAGAAAATTTAAGTTCAAACCAAAATGTTATGTATCACATGCTTAAAATCTATGTAAATGGGCATGGAAAGAAATAGACAAGAGGAAAGGCTTCATATGTGATTTGGAAGACATTGGCCTACAGCTTGTATGTCAAACCACAGACTTATAAAATTACCCAGAGAAAATACAAAGAAAGAACAAAATAAATTAAAACTGAATGCTACAAAACTCCAAGACATCTCAGTTTAGGAAGGAAGTGGGAAATAACAGTAATGTTTAAGGATGGGTTAGTAAGTAGGGGGAAGAAGAAGAAAGGGAAGAAGCAAAGAGGGACAGATGGAGGAAGGGACTGAGGGACTGAGGGAGGGAAGGGCGGAGGGAAGGAGGGAGGGAGGGAAGAGGGGAAGGAGGGCAAATGAAGGGAAGGCAGAGGAGGGGAAAGGAAGACAAGGGAGGGGCAAATGGAGGAAAGGGTGGGATAAAGAGAAAGATAGAGAACAGCGACCTATGTAGGAGAAAAGATGTTTCAAGTCTGTGGTATGCTGGCTGCCACATGCAATCTCAACAGAGAGCACACACATCCCAGACGACCAACAGCCAGTCATCATTGGTATGCATGAGATGTCATATTAACTACTCATCTTGTTGTTATGATAAAGCACTCTGACAAAAGCACCTTCAGGAAGAGTTGATTTTGGTTCATAGTTGGAGGGTACAGCCCACCACCATGGGGAGTGCACAACAGTGGGACCTGCAGGGAGCTGGTCACACTGTATCTACTGCCAGGAGACAGAGAGATGATGTTCATGCTCAGCTCACTTTCACTTTTCTATTTCCTCCAGAATTGCAGCCTAGAGTAGAGAATTGTGCTGCTGGAGGGAAGGTGGGTCGGCTACCTCAGGCGACCTAATCTAGAAAATTCATCATAGCCATACACAAAGGCTAACCTTATCTAGATTCCATCAAGTTGACAAGGGAACTCACACCCAGTAAGGAGAGATTTTCTCACACCACAGAGACAGAAAGGAAGTACTAGGAAGCGGATTTTTCTCTTTAAACTGGGCAGTGTTTGAACATTATGCTCGCTGTAATAATCCTCAGGAGAGAGAAACGGCATCACAAAGGGAATAATGATGCTTATGAAGGCAAGGAAGGTATTGCTGTGAGAGAACAGGCTTCCACAGACATGGCCCCACTGTGATGGGAAGGGAGAAAAAGGCGGAGTTCAAGGTTATAAAAAGTAGTAAGCTTCCTTCTAGTTCAATTTCACCATTAGCTGAAAACAGAGGTAACAAGCATGTAATGCAAGCCTGAGTGACAAAGAAACATCAAGTAAGCACTGAGATTACAAGATGCAGTGTGCTAGAAAAGTGTGAAATTGGCCATGTGATTCTGAGTGCCCACTTGGCAATGTTAATCATGAGTTTTTAGTGATACCATCTGCTGAGCTGTGATTTTTCTCCACAGTGTTTTTGGATGTGCTATTATTAGAGGTGCTCTGTCTCCTGAAGAAAATCTAATACTTTAACATTAGTCTTCAAAAACTGACTATGCCCAATCAGTACCATCCCACATCACCACCATCAAATTATGGCTTTTGTTACATAAATCCTACAGGCCATATAGGAACAGAACAGATTAGCATGTTTTGGAAGGGGGAAATTTCACTTTAAGAAAATCATACTTGAGTTAACTCGGAATCATATTTTTGACTTGCAATAATGAAATAATCTTGACTGTCTGAAGTGAAATGTCGTACTTGACAACTTCCTGAAATAATGATGGTCTGCACCTGGAAAAGAGTGGGAATAAATACTTACAAGTCTTTAACAATGGAATAACTAAATGCAATAATAGCATGCATTAGTACATGGCTTAAGATTTGAAAATGTCCTTAATTTGTAGGTTATGCATTTTTAAATGTTATTTGAAGACAGAAACAGCTTTGAATTAGAATACTTGCTACAATGTGTATCAAGTTGCAAAAAGTTCTTTTTTACTTTGACATGGAACATACATCATCTTCCATTTTGATTAATCTTACAATTTTGAATTATACTTAAATAAAGAATCTATAGAAAAAAGGAGATTTTTTTTTACCAGGGATAATTTGAGTCCAGAAGTGAGCTTGTAAACACTGTTAATGGAAAGCTTTTCTCCATCTCTTTCCCCGTGAGTAATGACAAGATAGGGAGAAACACCAATATTAAAGGCCTCACAAGTTTTAGGACTTTCTATATTAAAATCCTAGGAAATACAAACGAAATTAGTAATTAATGCTATATCAGATTTTTCACATACATTTTATTTTGTGTATCATAAAGCAAAAAGTGATGTTTACCTCAACTGGAATGAAAGTCCCTTGCCATCGGTAAACAACTAGTGATGACTTTCTTAACATTACACCATAAACTGAATCTTTGACAGTAAAGAAACACCAGCCAGATGCTGTCTTGTCAAAAAAGCTTTGAAATACAGAAAAGACAACATCCACTCCCCCTAAAACAATAAAATAAATCATTATTTATGTTTATATGAGTGCATATATGCATATAATATATGCAGACATGATATATTAATAAATATAATCACATGTGAATCTTACATCATCCGACTTATTACATAAACAGTGAAACTAGTGAACATATTAGAAAGAGGATGATGACAATGGTGTATGCCTGTGTGCCTGTTTGCAAGGGTGTGCTGCATGAGCACACACGAGGAAGCTTGAAAACAGTATCTAAATATAACAATATTTTTAAAGTAGAGATCTATATTTTACAATCTTTTTTCAAGTGTATTCAAAACTGAATAATAAGTATGTATTTTAGAGAGAAACATGTTAAAATGACTCTCCTTGAAAGTACTCACCTAGTAGTTAGTGCGTGTGTGTGTGTGTGTGTGTGTGTGTGTGTGTGTGTGTGTGTGTGTGTCTGTGTGTGTGAATATATGTCATGTGTATGCATGTCTGCAGAGGCCAGAAGAGGATGTCGCATCCCCAAAATCTGGAGTTACAGGCTGTTGTGAGCCTCCTGACATGGGGCTAGGAAGAGAACTCAGGTCCTCTGGAAGGGAATCAAGTACTCTTAACTATGGAACCATCTCTTCAGCCCCCACATGTTACAACTCCCAATTTCCCCTTTAAAGCATATTATATTTGCAATGCAAATTTATTTTTATTCCCTGTATTTATTTCTGCCTAGGTCTAAATTCCTGTGAGTTGAAATGCACAATAAATACTGTAGATACAATAATAGAATCAAGTACCTGTTCTGTTGGTAATAGAACAGTAATATACAATTCATGGAAATAAAACTAAACATACTCATGCCAAAAGCTGTTTCAGATACTGTCTCCCACTGTACACTCACAGCCAAATCAAGGCCATTCATACGTGACACATTGAGGTATACACTCCTGTTGGACTCCTCAACGTCTATAGAGGTAGCACTAAAAGAAAAACAAATGGATTCTGGAGAGCAGAAAATGTATAATTTCTAAGTATTTAACATACATATCACACTGCCAGAGTATAACTTAATATACTTGTAAGTTTGCACACCCCAATGAGTATCACAACTTTTATGAATTGAAGAGACTAGACTCCAGTATTCAAAAATATTCACTTATGGATTTTCTAAATAAAACATACAAACGTATCGCTCCGATGTCCTTATCATAATGATTAAATACTGTCACAATACATAGTCAAACAATGTTTCCCTTCCAAAATATCTTCATACATAACTCAGATATCTGATAAGAAATAAATGAAGTAGGAAGTGTTTAGCTTATTAATAAAGTTAGATCCCTTAATTATTTTAAGAAATAAAAATATTTGTCCACTCTAAGGCACTTTAAAACTAATTAGATATTAGCATTCTTCTACATCTCCTCAGTTCAAAAGTGTTACCTATTTTGTTTCAAAATGTTAATGTGTTATTAAAAAAACATACCTATTTTCAACAGCAGTGATACTAAATAGCCCCAAAGGGGCCTGGTTTTGCAAAATGGTTATGAGGGTTTGAACATGGGTTCCTAGTCTAGCACCTCCAGTTGGATTAAACAGAGTGCAGACAAAATGTTCATCCATTTCTGGTTCCGTGTCTAATATGGCAGAGATGTGCAGGGCCTGAAAACAAAATGAAAAAAATAAAGCTAATAGAATATGATCCTTTTGGAGACACACGTGTGGAAAAGTGTACTAAACATTTTTTATGACAAATGTTTTGAAACATGACTTCTATTTACATTTGATTAGCATCATGTGATGACTATAATTGTTTCAAGTTACTACCTTGGGAATTTTCAACCCTGTGATCTGCTGCCCTAAAGTGTCTGCAAAGTAATAGTTGATGGCAATGACAGTAATTGGGGGTGAAGAGATTGCTCCACCAGTAAGAGTTCCTGCTGCTATTCCTGAAAACCCAAACTTAGTCCCAGCATCCACATCAAGCAGCCCACAATGCCTGTAAACCTAGTCCCAGAAGATCGGGTGCCCTCTTCTGGCCCCTAGGAGAACCTGCACTCAAATGCACAAGCACATATAGACCAACACATATGCATAACTTTAAAATAAAATAAATCTCTTTTTAAGTTTTCAAAACAGACCAAAACAAAAATAGATTATGATGTTAAATTTCATGTGCTGGTTTCTGTGACCCTTTTGTACCATACAGGCTACATAATTTCATTAACCTCATCCCAAGTCTGTAAATGACTGTCTAGAAGCAAGGGCAGCAGAGTGGGTACAAACTAGAACCAATCAAATGCTTGCCATCAGCAAAACATAAGGGCTTTGGTCTCAGCAGTGGAAAGCAGCACAGAGAACCACCTACTGAGAGGGAGCAATCATGTGGTCCCAGAAGGCAGTGCAAAAGACATCAACATTGAAAGTGTAACCACTGCAAGATCCCATCTACACAGAGCAAATGACCTGGCAAGGCAAGTCTTAATTTTAAAGGTTAGAAAGCCGCATTATCCGGAAAGGGGAAAGGATGGCAGTTATTTAAACATCTTACTCTGAGCAGTGATTGTATATGTACCTACATGCTTAGGGACTGGGTGCCATACAGCTTACATTTTAAAATTAAGACCTGAGAAGCAGTTAAGTTTGTTCAAAATTTATTTAATTTGTTCTAACAATTAACCTTTCTAGTGAACAAATCAAAGTATCTTAAAACTCTAAGATTTAAGGAAAAACATAATTTAAAATATAAAAGAATACTTTTTAAAAGAAAAAATCAAAATACTTATGCTTTAAACTTTTATATCATTTCAAAATTGAGGTGGATCTTTAAAGAAATCAATTAAAGGTTTTATATTTTCAAGAATATAAAAATATTGAACTTGGAAAACATGCTGAAGTTTACTGGAATATAAGGACTGAGGACATATCTGGGCTTGCTATTATTCATAGGCCCTGGGTCCTATGTATGCTACAGAATATAGGAGACTTCTTTCATTATTAGTTGAACTCTAATGCTAAATTACTGTAAGTATAATCATTTAGTGTTGTATTTGGCTTTAAAATGTATAAGCTAATGTAACTAAATATCTTTTAACTGTACCTAAAAAGTAAAGTTGAAGGGCTAATGAGAGATGAGAACTGAGAGATGCTCAAGTGGGTAAGAGCACTAGCTGCCCTTTCAGAGAACATGGGTTCAATTCCCAGAGCCCACATGGCAGTTCACAACCATGGGTAACTCCATTTTCAAAGGATCCAATGCCTCCCTTCTGACCTCCATAGGCACCAGGAACCCATGTGCTCACACACGTATATATGGACAAACACCCATGAACATAAAACTAAATCTAAAGATGAAGATTTAATAAAACTGGGTATGGAAAACAAAAAAGTTAGCATACAGAAGAAGAAGGTTGGCAGGTATGTGGGTTTTGTTTTGTTTTGAGTATAGATTGCATTCATAAGTAATCTCAAATCCAGCATTTTTCTCAACTAAACTGCTCCTATTCTTGTATTCACAGTCCAAAACAAGCAGTAATGTTTGTTCAGTTAAAATGTGGCAGACAGACAAGGATGAAATTTTCCTCTAGCTTATGTTCTTAGAGACAATATAAAGGAAGAATACCATTTAAATGGGTTTAAATTTTAAAATGTGAACCACATATGCTATTTCTTGCACATTCCTTTACCATGTTAACAGTACATTTCCCCACTGGCCATCTGTGTACCCTTTATAACACTGTAACACTAGCCACATATACTAGTGTCTTTGTCTCTTCCATTTTAACAGTGTTTTGTTTAGTTTTGCTTCTTGAGAACTTACAGCACATTTCTGAGAAAATTATTTTTCAGTACTAAAGGCAATTTTGAGTTTCATTAAAGATGTTAATGATTGATACTCTACCTTAGATCGAACACCTTCCTCTAGAACAACAAAGCCTTTGGAAGGAATCAGATCCTTCGATTCTGTTGAGGAGTTAACTTCTGACACCACAAACTGAACTGCCACCGTTCCAAACAGGCCTTGTGCAGGCTCCCGAATGACAATTAATACTGCAACACTCTCTTGCAAGTAGAGAGATGTTGGTTCTCTGAGGAAAATGTGGCCACTATTGTTAAAGGACAGAACTCCAGGGCCATCATCATTTGCAAGGACAGTAATCAAAGCTGTTAAAACAAAAATATTCAAGCAGTAACTGAAGAGTGAATGTGTCATAAATCCTAGAGGTATTATGTTCACAAGCGACTTTTAAATCATTATTAACTCAGTTCTCAACATAACCCTTTTCCTATTCCCATGTTACAGAACCTGTGTCAGAATGTACACAGGTACTCCACAGAAGTTCAAAAGCTAGAACCGAACAGAACTGTGGTACAATCCAGGAAGTCAGCTTCAAGATGTTGACTATTCATACATTCATTTTCATATTCATTTATTAGGGGAGAGCACATATCACGGTGTGTGAGCATGTGGAAGTAGGAAGACAACCTGTGGGAATCCACCATGTAAGTGCCAGGGATCAAACTCTGCTTTGTGTCAAACACCTTTACCGACTGAGCCATCTTGCCCCCCAACTCATACAGACTTAAGCATTATCATAGTATCTTTATACATCAGCTGTCACTGTTTGAAAATACAACAGTAAAGGGATATCATTCAAAATAGACAATTAACACAGAAATTAATGGGAAAATATAAGAAACATGCATACAAAGAAAAGCACAAAGTGTTGACTGTGGCCACCTTGTCTCCCTTTGACCCACTCTCAGGTCCCTTGAAGTAGTCCACATTTGTACAATAAGGGCTGGTGCCCCCCCAACCCCCAACACAGCATCAACCCATGAGAGATCCAGTAGGCAGGCCTGTGGGTAATTTATTTGAACAACTAAATGTAGGTGTAGATAGTGACCTGGGCAGGTGGTCATGGCTTATATGAAAAAGCCAGATGAGAAGGAAAAAAGCCAGCTGAGCAAGCCATAGGGAGCAAGACAGTAAACATCTTTCTTCCATGGCCTTTGCTTCAGATTCCAGGAGCCAGCTTCCTGGCTCCAGATTCCTGTCTTGAGTTCTTGTCCTGACTTCTGTTCATGAAGGATTGTAAGCTCTAAGCTATAAGCCCAGAATGCTTCAGTCATGATGTTTATTAAAGAAACAGAAACCAAACTAGGACAGATATATAAACTAACTAAAAGGCAGAGAGAGAATACACAAATTAACAAAATTAGAAACAAAAAGGGAAACACGAAAACAGAGACTAAGGAAATCCATACAATCATTAGGTCATACTTCAAAAGCCTGCACTCCATAAAATTGGAAAACCAAAAAGAAATGGACAAATTTCTTGATAGATACCACACACCAAAATTAAATCAAGATCAGATAAATAATGTAAATAAGCTCTAAGGAAATAGAAGCAGTCATTAAAAGTCTCCCAACCAAAAGCAGCCCAGAGCAAGATGGTTTTAGTATAGAATTCTACCACACTTTCAAAGAAGAGCTAATACCAGGACTTCTCAGTTATTCCACAAAATAGAAACGGAAGGAACATTGCCAAATTCTTTTTATGGTTATCCTGATACCCAAACCACAAAAAGACTCAACAAAGAAAATTAGATACCAATTTTTTTCTCATGAATATTGATGCAAAAGTGCTCAAAAAGCAAATCCAAGAACACATCAAAAAGGTAATCTGGCATGTTCAAGTGGGCGTCCCAGAGATGCAGGGACAGTTTCACATATGAAAATCTGTCAAAGTAGTCCACCATATACAATTTGGAAAAAAAAAAAAAACATGACCATCTCCTTAGATGCTGAAGAAGCCTTTGACAAAATCCAACAGCCCTTCATGACAAAGGTCTTGGAGAGATCAGGGATAACAGGAACAAATCTAAATATAATAAAGGCAATATAAGGTAAGCTGACAGCCAACATCAAATTAAATGGAAAGAAATCCAAAGCAATTCCATTAAAATCAAGAAAAATACAAGGCTGTCCACTCTCTCCATATCTATTCAATATAATTCTTGAAGTTGTAGCTAGGGCAATAAGACAACAAGAGGAGATCAGGGATAGGGATACAAATTGGAAAAGTAGAAGTCAAAGCATCGCTATTTGCAGATGACATGATAGTATACATAATCAGCCTCCAAATTTTTACCAAGCAACTCCTATAGCTGATAAACACCATTAGTGAAGTTTACAAGATTAATTCAAAAAATCAGTAGCATTCCCATATATAGATGATAAATGGGCTGAGAAAGAAATCACAGCAACAACATCCTTTACAATAGCCACAAATAATATAAAATATCTTGGTGTAACTCTAACCATAAACAAGTGAAAGAGCTATATGACAAGAACTTCAAGTCTTTGAAGAAAGGAACTGGAGAAGATATTAGGAGATGGAAAGAACCCCCATGCTCATAGATCAGTAGGATTTACATAGTAAAAATGGCCATCTTGACAAAAGCAATCTACAGATTCAATGCAATACCCATCAAAACTAGAAAAATTCATACTGAGTGAGGTAATCCAGACAGAGAAATATAAACATGGTATGCATTCACTCATAAGTGGACATTACCTGTTAAGAAAAGGATAATCATGCTACAATCCACAGACCCAAAGAAGCTTAGTGACAAGGAGGGCCCTAGCGGGGATAGGGATGCATGCATTTCCCTTTTAAGGGGAAACAGAAGAGATTTCTTGTGTGGACTGTGGGTGGGTGGGGATGGGAACTTGAGGGATTGGGTTGGGGAGGTAGATGGAGGGGGAGGGTACTAAAAGAGATGCTTAAAAAGGGGGACATTTCAGGGTTGGGTAGAAACCTGAGGCAAGGGAACCCCAGCTAAGAGTCCTAAAAATAGTGGATACATAGCCTAAACTTGCCCTCTCCTGTGATCACATTGGTGACTACCCCAGTGGCCATCAGACAGCCTTCATTCAGTAACTGATGGAAACAGATGCAGAGACCCACAGCCAAACATTAGCCCAAGCTCAGTAAATCCTGCTGGAGAGAGGTAAGATTATAGGAGCCAGAGGGGTCAAGGACATCACAAGAAAACCCATAGAAAACAACTAACCTGGCTCATAGGAGCTCACAGAGTCTGAACCATCAACCAGAGAGCCTGCATGAGACCGACCTGGGCCCTCTACATATATGTGACAGTTGTGTAGCTTGGTCTAATTGTGGGACTCCTAACAATGGGATCAGAGGCTGTCCCTAATATTTGACTGGCTCTTGGGAACCTATTCCTTATACTGGGTTGTCTTGCCCAGCCTTAATACAAGAGAAGGTGTTTAGTCTTACTAGAACTTGATATGCCATGATTTGATGTTACCCATGGGATGCCTGACCCTTTCTGAACAGAAGCAGAGGAGGAGTGGATATGAGGATGGGGTAAAAGGGAGGTGGGGTAGAGAATTTATTTTATACTTGGGATGTAAAATACAAAATCAATAGCCAATAAAAAGTACATTTTTATAAATTAGGGTAGTAGCTTATCTATTTTAGAAGAAAAATAAATTTATATTTGTATCCCACATATTATCATTATCAATAATTTCCTTGTGTATTAAGAATAATCATATATATATCAAAATTATTCAAATTTCATAAAAATATAAAATAATGTACACTGTTAGGGAGAAAAACAAATAGGATTCAAAAGAATAACAAAAATACTTATATTTTAAAAGCTGTATAATGAAAAATACTATAATAAATTTAAAACATAAAAAGACAGCCTCAGCAAGACCATCCAGAGCTTCGGACATTGAATTCCTGGCCCACACACACTACAGAGTAACAAGAGGAGATAGAGAGATCCTACCTGCACTCACTGGAAAAAGATATGGGAAGAAGACAGAATAAGAACTCGCTCAACAACAGAAAGACCAATATGACACCACCAGAATCTAGGGACTCCACTCCAGCAAGACCTGAAAAACCCAACATAGTGCATGAAGATGAGATGGACCTCAAAAATTATCTCAGCAAGATGATAGAGACCTTCAAAGAGGAAACAAGAAAATCCCTTAAAGAAATAGAAGAAAAAGCAAGCAAAAAATTACAGGAAATAGAGGAAAAGACAAACCAAAAAATTCAAGAAATAAACAAATCTCTTAAGAAGCTAAAGAAACCCAAGATAAAACAACCAAACAAGTGAAGGAAGCTCTTGAAACAGTTCAAAGCATGAAAGCTGAATTAGACACAAATAAAGAAAACACAGACTGAGGCGATGCTGGAAATGGAAAGACTGGATAAACGATCAGGATCTAAAGA